CACACACACACACACACATTGAGTTTTATGTGTTCTGCGCCACGAATCATAGTTTATTTATTTCGTTTTTTTTTTGCAGTTTATGATCTCCTAATACTGCGGCATACTCTTCCGGTCATTGTTAGTCGAGCCGGGAATTATTCATTCCCAGTTCTCACGGTAAGTTTTAGATGATCATACGAGAAGTAAAAAATCCCAATATTCTTTTTTTTTTCAATAAAATGATCAAGATTTTCTTATTTGTTAATCTATGCAACACAGCTGTTAATGCTGCGAATAGTCGGAATTATTGTGCCGATCTGCATAATACTGAAAGCAGTTACTTCCATCATACGTCGCCGACAGCAACAACAGGTAAATCAAAATATTTCCATCACCTCCCGAAAATTATCCAAAAATAAAAAATAAAAATGAAAATTGTTATTAATGTGTGCTAATATTAGTAAATCCATTTTTAATGGCGATTAACAGGCTAATCTACCGACTTCTGTATCGGCTGAAGAAGCTGGTTCGTTGACTCTGAACCAGCCACATGTTATTGCTATACAGTAAACGCCTCGAACTTAGTCTATGCGAATGGTTGTAATTTTCGTGAAAATTGCTGATGCCAAGAAAGATGACGGAAAATAGTAATCCAATTTCGTCATCGATAATTAGTGAAGTTGTTGCTTTATATGTGTTGCAATCTTGTGTAAATATCAGTTATACACAAAACGAATAGGAAAAAAAACCGAAAAAAAAGGAGGAAAAAAAAACAATAGCATAGATTTCTGAGGTGGGATATAGTTATGCATGCACCTCTAAGGAAGCTAATGTACAGTGTTGATATCAAATTATATATATATATAAATATATATGGCTGTATTTTTGCCCTGTTTTGGGGACTTATTTTTTAATTTCGTTTCGGAAAAAAAGGTACTTTACGAAGAAAAAAATGGAGGCAAAAAGTTGCAGTGTTTGTATTTCGTAAGAAGAATCTGAAAATTAAAAATTATGTTTTGTATTTTTAGTAATGCCTGAAAGAGAGAACTTTGAATTTTTTTTAGAAAAAAGATGTTGAAATTTAAATTACAAAACTCGAGAATATTCCACATAAATTAAAATATTCGACTAAATTTGACACTCCAGGTGGTGGACGTGTAAGAAAATTCGTAGTTGAGGGGTGGTTGTAATTACTCAAACGTAAGGGGTTTTTTCGTAATTTACCATAATTATTTTGGGGAAAGAGTGAGAAAAAATTCAAAACCGGATTAGAACATATAAAATAAGGTAGAGAATTTCAAGACGACTTCTAATTCTTGATTATGATGCCTTGCATTTGTCGACAATGCTAATATTAAGTAATCACTTCTTAAAAAAAAGAAAAGAAGTTGAAGGAAAGAATATGACAGTTTGAAAGTTAAGGAAAGTAGTTGTCGACTTTCGAGCACTAAACTCTCGTCTTTCAACTGTCAACCGTCTTCTTCATCGTCGTCATCATCGTTATCCATTTCGTCCACTTGTCCAATCATCTATCCTAATACACTTCGTGTCAAAATTAGCTTATTTTACCTGTTAATTTCAAAATAATTGTTTGTGCTGCATCATCTGGTGACGTGTACATAGTAAAAAAGAAGAAAAAAACGAGCTTCGATTATCGATCAAATTATCCAAATGCTACAAATGTTTGGCCTGAAAATGTTCGTATACAACAACAATTGAATGTAACAACTAACACCACCAGATCCTGTATATATATAAGTTAAAATGCAAAAACCTATATATTATTATCAATTAAAATTTTCATATACTTTTTAAAGAGTGTAAATAGTATTTATGTTTCAAAAACTTCTGTCTTCGACGCCAATAACAGGCAACTGCTCCGAATAAACAGCTCACTATTGCTATAGCCAGTGCAGCAGCTTCTATAGGCACCACAACTATTAACTCTTCATCTTCATCCTCGGGAAGAATACTCTCCTCCTTGTGTAGAGTTTCGAGTCTCTCACCGTAATAACCGATCAAAAACTTATAAACCTCGTCATAATCCCAATTAATCTTACTATTTAATATTCGATCATTTTTTATGGTTTTCCTAAGATAGCAAGAAGGGCAAAGCTGACTTGGTGGCCATATGATTTTTGGGAATTTAGGATCGGCTGTTCCAGCAGATGCCTCTTCCTTCATAAGCCTCTCGTTCACTTTGTTGTGTGTGTTCCATAGCCAGAGGATGAAATCCCGAGATTTCTTGAAAGGATTCGAAACGCTGCGATTTTTTTTAGGTTTTTAATTTTACATTAAATTTGGGTAAAAGAAAAGGTAGTGGAAATGTAAGACTAATGGTAACTTACCTTGAACACATTTCGGAAAAATGTTGCCTGCACTCCTCGCATATAAAGAAACTACGGATGAAATCGCAGATAGTGGTGAATGCCAGGTGGCTTTCGCCATCGTCGACTCTTACAGAAAGCGAGTGCAGTAAAACCCACAATCCACAACTGCAAAATAAGATAAAGAAAAAAAAAAGGAAATTGAAATATTACTAATTCTTGTAAATTCAAGATTATCGAGTAGCGCTATGAATGAGCCTGACCTAAAGCCTCTGGTCTCGTTCTTGCTGCCACGACAAAACATCTGCGTGAAAAATAAAAAAATCAAAGTCATATTCCGATTATGAGAATCAGATAAATTTGTGCAACATTGCTACAAGGATTCACATAATAAAATAAAAAATGAATAAAAAGATTGCAGATGTATCGTACCCAGTTTCCTCGAGGAACATCTTTTCCACAAATCTTGAAATTCCTAAAAGCACCTTGCTCACCAACAACTGCAGTTTCCTTCTTGGCTGCAAAATCATCAAAATCAACAAGTATTTCTGCAGTTCCCTTTCGGCACCTAATAGAAGATATTCAAATCCCAACTAAGAAGCTCATACACAATAAGTATATAATGCAGAGGAAAAACACATGAGTCGAAGAATTGATGATGACCTTCTAGATGGGTGATGGACCACCAAAAGCTGGAAGAATTTAATAAGTGACGCTCGATTCTCTGATTTAATCATCTATACAGGATTACAGTTATTAGTATTATTAAATAAGGGAAGGAAACAATATAGGAAATTTCATAAGAGCCAAAGTATAGTAGATCGAGAAACGGAAGTTCTTGGCACATAATTTCACCTTATGCTCTAAAATGATGTCAAAAGCAGTGAATGTAGCCTCCTCAACATCATATATAGCACGTGCAATCTTCTCAATAAACACGTGACAAGTCAGAAAGGTACATTATAGAACGAAAAATGTCATATCAAAACAATTTCAAAATTAATAATATGCTTCTAAAGGGACCTGTCCAAGATCCGAAGCATTTGCGTGAAGATGCTCATGCTCGTATTTCTCATCATCCAGGCTGTACGAGCTGCAAACGTTAAGTAACATGATTATTAGACAAAAACACAAACTTTTCATTCATAAAAAGCCACTAGCTCGTATCTTATCTTACCTGTTAATTTGCTTATTTATCCAATTCAGCAATTGATCAGCTGTGCGTGCATCATTGATAGATCGTATTTCACTCGTATTTTTCTCTGGGTCCCAACTCCCAGACACAAACTTAGAATGTGGGCCCCATAGAAGCATGGGGTAATGTCCAACAGAGAACTTATCACAGAGGTTAGTATTTACCTGTGCTGCCATACAATCAAAGAGAAGAAGAAACAGTCGAGTCGAGATAACATGAATTTTCACATAATTTGTAAATCATTTACAAAATATCATAAACAAAAAAAAAAAAAGAGAGAGTAAAAATTACTAAGTAGGAAGCAGAGGAGGAGTACCTGTACGGCACAATCGACTCTCGTCATTAATATGATCCCTGGATGTACTGCATCTGCCCCATTAAAGAGCTTCGCAACCTTCTCATAGTGTGGCTGCCCAAATTGGTAAAATTTCTTTTGAGAAACATAGTTTTAGATAGCAAATAACAATGTAAGATGAAACCATATTTTAATTAAACAAAATGCTAAATTAATTTAATACCAGTACTGTAGAACAATAAATCTTCAAAATTTTACTGCAATTTAAAAAAAAAAAAAATAACCCTAAGTTCCGGCGAAGAACCACGGCATGAAACTCAACATACCTTGTAATTTCTACAAGCAGGACACCTGCAAAAATCAAAAGCAGGAGATTAATTACAGGCAAAATGCGTAATTGCGTAATTTAACGATGAGAGAGAAACTGACCAATTAGCGAAGAATTCAACAATGGCGTAAGTAGCCGGGGTTTCCTCGAGCACCGCATCGAAATCGGCGGCGTTCAATTCCACCACATAATCTGATTTCACGGCTCCGTCTCCGCCGATTGATTGCAGAATCGAGCGGTACCCGGCCGAAAACGGAGCCGGGATTACACCAGACGACGTCGTTTCCATGCTTGACAGGGTTAGAATTAACACAATTACAAAAATGACAGAAAGCATGCTGAATTTATTTTGATGCATTAGATTTTAGACACAGAAAAAAATTGAAATGCGTGTACGTATTTACGTAGAGAGGATTTGGCGATGGTGTGCTGCCGTTTTGTTCATTGTGATTTGCCGTTTTGATTATGGTCCCTGCCGTTGTACGGCAACGGAGTTGAATTTTTGGTGTTTCTTTGCTTTAAAGACAGACAGGCCACTACAGAAACAGATCCTACTACTGCCTAGTATTCAATGTCAACTTTCTGAGTTTATGCTGATATTTGTTGTACACTACCAATAGGAAGTTGTACCTTTCTAAAATCAAGGTAGAATTACGTTAAAAGTGGTCCTCTGTTCTAATTTTTTGCACGTTAATTGATGTTTTAATGCATAAACTTTTGTATTAATTGTTATTTTGACTTTTTTTTTTAATTTGGATTAATAGTTATTTTGACTTTTTTAATTTGGAGATAGATGATGTTCCTTGTCAAAGAAATACAATGGACTACATGCCATAATTGTAACAAATATATATACACACCCATACACATGTGTATTACGTATGTTGTCAAAATTATAGGGTGGTTGGCTAAACTTATAAAATGTTAAAATAAGTTTATAAGATGTTTTAGAACTTATAAGCTCTTCCAAAGTATTTGGTAATTCTTTTTTTAGAAAAATCTTAATTTTTAAAAAAATAAGCTGTTGGAGAGCACATATGATCTTTTTAAAAAAGTACATCTACCCCACTTTTTTATTTAAGATCTTATAATGAGGAAAAATAGGAAATAAGTTCATTATCCAAACACTCTAAAAATTAATTCTAAAAATAAGATACAACAGCTTTATCAGCTCTTAAAATATCATATCAGAACTTATCAACTTTTTAAAATAAGCTTAGCCAAACACTATCTTAGTTCTCACGGCTTCTCTATAAATTAATGTAAAGGATGATATGTAGTCCTGAAGCAATTGTGCTCGTGTTAAGTTTCAAATTGAAGTACAAATCATCGAGATCTCAAACACTTTGAAGGGGAAAATAATGATTAATACTTTTTATTTTTTCATTCTGCAAAAGGTGATCGAAAAATAAAAATAATAAAGTTACATATGTAGATCATAACGCTTTACCTAGTGAAATCACGAAAATCCCAACGAGCGGATACCTATCATTGCCTTGCAACTTTGAACTACACAATGTAAATGGGGTACAAATTTAGATTGGATGGCCTGTTTTAATAGGAAAATCGAATGTCATAGGAAAAAAAAAAAAAAAAAAAAAATCCAACATAACCATTAACCCCTCTAACCCTAATTATAATTAGCGTGATTTATTAAGAGTTAAGACTTAAAAGTGTCACATGTCAAAAAATTAGTGGAATCTGATTTATATTAATATCGGCTGATCCGCTCAAAATTTAATCTCATTAAAATGTAAGTAGATATGTTATATTATTTCCAAAATAATTAGTTTAATATATTATTATTGTGTTTTTTATTTTGTTTTGTAAGACATTTATAAACTCGTCCCTGAAAGTAGAAAAAATAAGAATATCTACACGTGGTAGCAATCTCGGGGAAAGATGTATAGAGTTCTGACGAGAACTATTATGATATTCGGAACTCGTGCGGCACTCAATAGGCCGATAGAGGTTGTGCAAATATTGCATGTCATTTGGTGAACCCGATAGCTATGTAAGGAGATCATCTCGTGGCTTGTTGTTGAAGATTATTTTATTCAAGGTTTTTGTTTAGTTTTTATTATATTTGTTAGATTTTCTCTCTCCCGGAACCGTGTGAATCGGATGACAAACTCGCTTAATTGAACGAGGTATGGTTTCGGGTACTCAATTTGTGAACACTGAACCAACGGTTCACGACCTCCAACTGACGGTTCACAACATGTGGACGTGTCTACTCCAGTATGGCTCCCGTTGTGTCCCCACCAATTGTAACATGGAAAACCACCGAAAACACTACTTATTTAAATAATCTGGTGACCCACCAATTGTAGAAGTATGATTTTTTGAAAGCAATAAGAACTTAAATAATACAATTCAAGTTTATCATCTTCTTTCTGATTTCGAGAAAAAGTGCGGAAGGAAAAAAAAGAAACAACAGAGGATCCGAACGGACCTAAATGGGAATGACGTGATATTCATAACTCGTGGGACACTTAATAGACCGATGGAGATTGTGCAAATGTTGCATGTCATTTGGTTCAGCCGATAGCCTACGTGTGAAATGAGAACATCTCGAGGTATGTTGTAGAAGATTATTTTCTTAAATGTTTTCGTTTAGTTTTCATCATATTTGTTAGATTTTCTCTCTCCCGGAACTATGTGAATCGGATGATAATCTAGCTCGCCCTAATTGAACTAGGAGTACGGTTTCGGGTACTCAAGATGTGAACAGTGAACCAGCGGATCACGACCTGTGGGTGTGTCTAATCCACCCCTACTGTCTGAAAATTTGTCTTCTACTTCATCCGAACATATCACAAACCCTCTCCTCCACGTACAACACAAGCTCCAACCCTCTCCACGTAGAACACAAGCTCCGACTTATTACTATGGAATAAGTAGCCTTGTAAGGATGGTGTGGTCCTAAAGCAGATCATCCCTCCTCCACGTACAATACAAATCAATTATCCATACTTAATTCATACACCGTAATGATGTTTATTTAGAAAGCCAATATAAGTATACAATGTTTATCTACAAAGCCAATACATGTAAGTAATATAAGTTAAAAACTTATCATCATCATTAATAATTTATTTTATATTTAAAGGAAAGAAATGTTGTACAAGCCAAAAAAACATCTAATAATATTTATGTAATTATTTATTTTTAATATTTTTTCTCTTTAATTTCTAATTACAATTTTTAACAATTATCGAAATTGAAACAAACCCGTGAAGAATCCTATCCTAATGGTACTTCAGTAGTTATTTATTTTTAATTTTTTTTCTCTAATTTGGATTATAAATCTTAATATGTAAGATTTAAAAAAAAATGTTATATTAAACATAAATAATATTACATTATTAAATCTTACTATTTTAGTATACTATATTTTCTTATTATGTATTAAATTGATTATTTTTTTTACTTTTAGAATAAGATCTCGTGCATCGCACGTGGAAAAAAATGCTAGTTTAATTTAATAACGACTAATGTTTTCTATTTATTTCATTCGAGGGAGAAACAAAAATGAATAAAGTTGACATCAATTTGTGAATAGTTCTATTTTTTTCATTCTTAAGAGGGAGAAACAAAAATGAATAAAGTTGATATCAATTTGTGAATAGTAAATTGCTGGTTCACAGCGCGGAACCGGTGATTCACGGCTTAGAACGTTACTAATAGTAAATCGCTGGTTCACAACCTGGAACCTTTGATTCACAGCTTAGAATGTTACAAACGGTTTGATTCCCGGCTTAGGACGTTACTAACGGTTTCGCTGGTTCACAACCCGGAACTAGTGATTCACAGATTAGAACTTACTAACGGTTGATTCACGGCTTAGAACGAGAACCGATGATTCACGGCTTAGAATGTTACTAACGGTTCACGGTCCCTCGTGCAATGTTGTATTATTTTCAAATTCGTGCTTTGCAACTTTGAAGGTTCACGTTACTAATGTTGTATTATTTTCAAAATAATTAGTTTAGTTAATTAAGAAATGTGTTTTTAATTTTGTTTTATAGTACGTCTATAAAACCGAGTAAACTGCAAAAAGTACCCTTGTGTAATCTCTAAATAGCGAAAACCCCCCTATGATAAATAAACTAGCAAAAACCCCCCTGTGGAATTATTTAAATAGCACACTCGGCTCATTTATCATTTGAGTGTTGACTTCATATAAAAAGACACAAATACCCCCGGAATTTTGCAATTAATAAATTCTTATATTATTTAAATATTTTAATTATTTTATTGTTGTTATATCTTAATAGGGATAACCCTCTTGTTCATATTTTCTAATGAGGTAGATCCAATTTTTTTTCCCCTTTTTGAGATAGACCCAATTTTGCCAACTTGGCAAAATATATTATATAATTTTCCTTTAATACCCCTGTTTTATTTTTAAACGGCATTTATTTCCTTTACTACGTGATTTGAGATTTACTGATACGTTGCCTAAAATCACGGAATAAAATTACGTGAGATCATTGGCCGTTATATCAAATCGTGTACAATATTTTTCGAAGGTTCTCTTCAGCGTTCCAGCGGTTTTTTATCGTCTTTGAAGATTTCTGCACCGTCGTTGAAATAGGATCGAATTTGAGCGTTCGTTGTTGGACGTTGTTAACCGGGTATGAATGCGTTATTCGTTTTTATTTTTCGCTCAATGTCTAGGATTGTCGATTACGGTGGTTAGAAATTTTTAAGAGTTGTGTTGTACTTGATTCTATTAAGTAGAACGTTTTTTAACAAAATTATTCCGTCATATATACATCGTTATTTTTGGCGGATGATGTTTGTTTGGAAGAGGATTGACAGAGTTAGAAGAGGATGGTTCACGCAGATCGGACCAGAGTTGTTTTATATAAGCTTCGTAGTTGGTTTATGCAATAATCGGAATAATTGTCCGCGGTGGTCGAGTTCATGTTTTTGATCCCGATCGATAGTTGGTTTATTTGTTTATAACAGCCGATTTAAGTGTGTTGGGTAGTACATTAAAATATAGTTCGTAGTCTTTTTTAAATTAGCGTATGGATTTTGCATTTTAAGTTTATTTTTTATGATATTAATGTATTGTCATTCAAATGTATTTGCAGTCTATTTAATCATTTTTTAGTATTCTGCATTTTTAATTTTGTTTCATGATTTTAGGTTTTTTCGATGGCGAATTTCGTACGGATTTTGTTGAGGTTTGGTGGGTTGGTTGCTATAAAGAGGTGTTTACGATGTAATGGCTCGGTAACTTCGGTTAAGTTTTAAACCGTTGTAATACAGTAGTATACTATTATGAATACCGTATGATACTACCATTATCATTTTATTATACTATTATGAGATTATTAATGTACTAGAGTTTTAACTCGACATATTGGTTTGATTGTGTTATGATGTGTTTTATGTATTTTATCAAAACTCTAGATTGAAATTATGAGATTATTAATGTACTATTTTATTGGTTATGTTGGAATACTTTACGTTGGTGTTGTTCTCAATGTTCTTGTCATTTCAGTGGTATATTGTTTGTAACACAATTCATATCACTACTATAACCTTAATATACTATCATAGCAGATCAATGTACTATATTGAAATTATTAATATACTATGTGGTTGAATAATACGGGATCCATAGTCGATTAACGAGATCCATAGTCGAATTAGATCAATAAGATAGTCTATTACATGATATAAGGAAAATTACCCTAATTGATTAGTATTTCAAACAAACATATTATTCAGTTTCCATATATATTATTATTTTTCATATATATTATTATTTACTTTAATCGTTTTCATATAATAAGGAAAATTACCCTAATTGATTAGTATTTCAAACAAACATATTATTCAGTTTCCATATATATTGTTATTTTTCCAATAGTCAATTAACTAAACCCATAGTCGAATTAGATACATGGGATAGTCTATTAAAAGATATGAGATAGTGTATTAATTTTAAAACACAAATCCGCCGCCGTCACTTCTCAAATCTAGGGTTTTGATGATTCTTCGGCCCATAATCGATTAACGAGATCCATAATAAAATTATACTAGTGGAAAATTACCCTAATTGATTAGTATTTCAAACAAACATATTATTCAGTTTCCATATATATTATTATTTTTCATATATATTATTATTTACCTTAATCGTTTTCATATAATAAGGAAAATTACCCTAATTGATTAGTATTTCAAACAAACATATTATTCAGTTTCCATATATATTGTTATTTTTCCAATAGTCAATTAACTAAACCCATAGTCGAATTAGATACATGGGATAGTCTATTAAAAGATATGAGATAGTGTATTAATTTTAAAACACAAATCTGCCGCCGTCACTTCTCAAATCTAGGGTTTTGATGATTCTTCGACCCATAGTCGATTAACGAGATCCATAGTAAAATTATACTAGTGGGATAGTATATAAAATTAATACAAATGTAATTTGACTATGCATCTCGTTAATCAACTATGGGCCGAAGAATTATCAAAACCCTAGATTTGAGTAATCCTAGATTTGAGTAACCCTAAATTGGAGCAGTGACGGCGACGGCGGCGGCGGCGGCCAACGACGATATCACTTCTGGTGGATGTCCTGCCCATCAATTGTTGCAATATCATTGATTTAGTGCTCAAATTCGGTATGCGATTATAACAGATCTGCAATTACACAAACGTGATAGTCGATTTAGCCAAAACATATCAACAAATCGATGGATGATAGCGATTCAGCGAGTGGCGACGACGTACCTACGACAGCTTGCTCGGAGTGCACGAAAATCGTCGTTTCACGGCAGTGCAGACGTCTTCCCCTTTCAATCGGCCGTACCGGGAAGTTGTTCTGGGAGGTTTTGCAGTTTATTCGATAGTGGGTTTGGCATGATAGTGATTTAACGGGAAAATATGAAGGGATTTGATTTTATTTCAAAAGGTAAAGTAACGGGTTTTGTGGGATTTGATTGAGGGTAATTATGTAATTATGAAAAGTTTGGGCTGTTATCAAAATGGCAAATATAAATTTGGGTCTACCCCTATTATTTGAATGTTTAAGGGGGTTATATCTAATAGACCCTAATTATAATGGTACAATGATGTCTTTAATTTATTTTTGTTTTTATTAATCACATAGTTTTTGTATATATTTTAAATTATCTCTACATCAAAAGAAAATTTAAATTCCGTTATTATATATTTAAAAAAATCTATACTTGATTTGATTAACAAATTTTTAATAATTTTTAAATTTAATTATTTACTATTTTTTAACAATATTTTAATTTCTAAACAATTAAATTAAAAAGGAAAATATATATACATAATATATATAAATATAAATACATTTTTAGGGGCAATTTCGTCATTTCACGTCCAAAAACCTACTACCAGTCGCGCAACCCGCGAGTGAGCCACACTTAAGTTAACCAGGGGGTTTTTGCCTTTGACTAAATTTCACGGGGGGTTTTTGCTAGTTTATTTATCACAGGGGGATTTTTGCTATTTGAAGATTTCACATGGGTACTTTTTGCAGTTTACTCCTATAAAACCATGTGGAACCAACATCGTGGAATGATAAGCATATGTGAACTAATTATTCTCAACAAATCCCCATGAAGAATTATTACCCAACAGCTTAGACAAACAAAAATTTTGAAGACCAAAACTCATTAAGCAAAATCTTTCATATAATCCCATTAATGACAAATAATGAAGCAAACATAATTCCATTAATCAATCCGCAGGATTGATAAACAAGAAGCACCTAAAATCCTCCTCTATTACATCAAAGAATCAAAATCTTTGATCCCATCCCCCTAAATAAATCATCAATCCTAAATCATATCAAATCAGAAGAGTTAAAAAATTAAAATCCATTCCTCAAATCATTGTAACAAAATGAATCGACCTCCATTTCACTCCCAACCTTCGTCTTCACGGTAACTCCACTAACACCGGCCACAATCACCGACGTCGCTAATCCGATAAACATCCCGTGTTCGACGATACCAGGCAGCCTCAATATTGCGTCGCTCGCTTCATTCAAATCTCCAATATCCCTCTCGAAATACAAATCGATTATGTAATTTCCGTTATCGGTGACGTAGATTTCGCCGTTTCCGTCGGAGCTGTCTCGTCTCAGCTTTCCCTCGCAGCCGGAATCGGCAAACAGATTGACGAGCCTTTTTAGGGAGTGGCTCCAGCAGAATGGGATAATCTCCACCGGCATTGCCAATCCGCTGCCGCCGATGTGTTTGACCAATTTTGACTCGTCGACGATGACGACGAATTTCGTGGTGGCGGATTCGACCATTTTCTCCCTGAGCAGAGAGCCGCCTCTGCCTTTGACCAGATTCAAATCGGGGTCGACTTCGTCGGCGCCGTCGATGGCCAAATCGACGACCGGGTGGGTGTCTAGATCCGATAAGGGGATCCCTAGGGAAACTGCTTGGTCGTGCGTTTTCATGGAGGTGGCTATTCCGACGATGTCGGTGAGTTTCCCCTGCTGGAGGAGGTGCGCGATTCTGTCGACGGCGTGTTTGGCGGTGGAGCCGGTGCCGAGGCCGACGACCATGCCGGATTTCACGTGCTCCACGGCTTTGTAGGCGGCGATTTTCTTCAAATCGTCCTGCGTGAGGGCGGCGGAGGGGCACGGCGGAGTAACGGCGGCGGAGACCATTAGGTTCGCCGCTGGCTCGGGCGTTGAATGTGGGTAGGCGACTGCCATGGCTGTAACCTAACCCCTATATGTATATGAGAGGAGCTTTTTGGATATAGAAATTGGGTGGCTATGGCGGCGTGATTATATATAGGGCGTCAGAAAAAGAAAAAACTAGAGAGAGAGAAGAGAGAGAATTTAGAGAAGAAAACAATGTTGAGGTGTAGAGATTCGGTTTGGGTGGTGGGAGAAGAAGGAGAAACGAATATTGGTGGTGGGGAGGGAATGCAACTAGGGTTTGGGCCCTATTTATAAAATGGGGGAATTGGGGATTCGGGGGCGGGAGTGGGGGCGGCGGTGGCGGTGGTTCGGGGCTGACGAATGGAGGAGGAGATTTACAAGCAATGAATGGGAATTAGATTTTTCGGATTAAGATAATGCAATAAATTGACATCAGAGTCTGTGATTCTGCAACTTATTGTGAATTTGGAAAATTAGTTACGCCCTCTCTACTCTGTTTCCTTCCTTTGCATTGTTTAATTAATTTATTATTAAATACAAATAAATTCATAATTCAAAATAATTGTCCAATTTACTAATAATGATAATTAATTAATAAAATGGAAACAAATTACAAATGGTTAACAACGACATATATTTCAAATCAAAGTTTTACTTTAATTTATTGTTATAAAATAGATTATTTCTATGTTACACTGGGTAAATTTTATTGTTTATATACATACAACAATGTAGTTGCGTGTGTTTTCAGTTTTTGTATATATACGAACGATAAAGATCTATCTGCTACTATTGATCTACACATACCAATGCAAATTAGTGTATTTGTTGTATATATATATATATATATATATATATATATATATATATATATATATATATATATATATATATATATATATGAATGGGGTGCTCAATAAATAGCCTAAGATAAGCTTCATAGGTGATACACACATCAATACACGCATGCCTATATCTAATGTGTAGATATGTTCTTTTAGGATTTAGGTCCATATGAATGGAATCATTGAGTTCCAATTTTTAATTATTTTCTGCAAATAGGAGTGGCAAACAAAGCATTTATCTTGCTTTTTAAAGCAATTCTCTAGCATATTCCTATGGTCATCACTAAATTGCAATTTTTCTATTTTATTATAAGTTAGTTTGGTTAAGTTTATTTTAAATATTTATAAGTTCTTACGTCTGATAAGTATTTTAAAAAATGATAAATTATTGCGTCTTATATTTAGAATTAATTTTTAAAGTGTATAATGAGCTATAAGCTATTGTTATTTATTATTTGAAAAATATTGTATTCACTCTAGCAGCTTATCTTTTAAAATTTTAAAATATTTTTTAAAATTTTAACAAACACTTTAAAAGAGTTTATAATTTCTTTACAACTTGTAAGTTTAATCAAACACCCTAAATCTTTTGGGGCTTCACATAATGTAAACACAAGATATTCCATTGCCTAATAAATTATAATGCATTAATTATTTGTTTAAACAACTATATATGCTGTCACGAGTTTTACCAGGTTTCATCATTATCGTAATTATTTTAATATTTGTAAAACATAAGCAAGATGAGAATTATTCCGAACGTGACAGCATTTTCTAAGGTCTAAGTTAAAAGAGAAAAGTAAAGTTATTCCTTGTAATCATCACATTTTATCTTCCACCCTTTATTAAACAAATAATAAGAAAAATGAACTGTAATAAATTCGTATTTTATATGTGACAGCCTCGATCTAGTGATCGTCGATAAAATTATATGAATCTGAATCAATTGCTACAAGTTCATTTGTTCTAACCGCTAGACGATCTCTTACGGGACCAGACATGCCATTTTGACTAACACGTGGATCACATTTCAGTCTTCATTTATCTTCTAAAAACGTGTTTTATTTACTAAAATTTGGTGTTGGATGTGGACTATTCAAAGTCAAATGCTCCCTCAAGAGGCTGCCAAATTGACCCACTAATTCAAGAATTGTAGAAACAAAATCCAAATAAAAAAAGCCCAAATTGGGTCCACGTAATTATATAGGTCCAAGGGGGATGCCTAAGCCCACGTGCCATCAAAGGGAAATTGGACACGTGGACAAACAGAAACTCCTGAGAAAATTCTACCTCAATAAATCCATATATACAGTATACACACATACACATAGAGCTGATTTGAGGGTGTAAGGAATGGTGCAAACTGGTTCAACTAAACAACAAACTGCAATTAAAATACCACATGCATGCAAGAAACATTATGCAACAACAAAATTACTTAAACGCCACTCAAAGAAATCGTCGAAAATTACCTCACTCTACGAGCACCCTTACCACCGAAAAAAAGAACCCTACAAAACAAACTTAAAGTAGAAAACAACATACACAGAAAGCGAAAAAACCGCCAGCAAATGCTGCCAAAAGAGAAGCGCAGAAGATTCACTTACAGCGTAGCCCCTCAAACTTGCAATCGCCCCCAAAAGGATCGCACTCGGTGTCGTATACTGCAACAGCACCACAAACTTGTACATTCCATCACCGTCAACAAGAAAGCCCATCCTATCGCACAATCCCACAATCCCGATTCCCAAAAGAGGAAGCACAATCAATCTCGCCACGATCACGCCAGCTGTCGTTCGAAAACCGAGCTTCGAATCCGTGGGGCCCTCAGCAAGCATCCCCCCAAGTATAAGCATCACCGACGGGACGACCGCACCTGCAAGAATCTCCAAACTGTCGGAAATAACAGAAAGCGGTGGATTGTGACCGAAGAAGCAATTTCTTATCTGAGGAACCATTCCAACAATTATAGCTAACAGAGAAGCAATAGTCGGCGGCTGGATGATGTGGCGAAACGGGGTTTGCTCGGCAACTATTCTCATCTTCCGAACCACACCTAAAGTCCTCGGACTTTTCTCTCTCCCGTTTCCACCTTCTTCGATAATTTGTTCATTGTCAAAATAACCAATAACGGGTTTCTTGGAATCTTCGGTTTCGTTATCTTGAATACCAGGCCATTCAGCTTCCACAAGAAGCGATCTACTCAATTGAGGAGAGAGAATACGACACCGATTCTCATCTTCTTCGACTATCTCGTAATACTCCAAAGGAGGCTCCATCATGTGATAAACGAGCGTATAAACGAGAATTACAGACACCCATTGAGCAAAAGAAACATAAGCCACGCCTTTTTTCTTACATTCCGGACCGAAAATATTCTCCTTGTCATGACAAATGGAGCCCACTAATGCGAGGGGCAAATTTCCGGTATTTCCGAATGCTGTCATTATTATAGTGAATCGAGTGTATTGAGGGGGTGGGCGGCAGATTATTACCACTAAGATACCTAAGAGGAAACCGACTGAAGTACTTAAAAGTACGTTTACAGGAATGAACCACCATTGTTTAATGTTTTCGAGGGTGATGGATTGGCCTAAGTGGATGAAGGTGAGGCAGGGTAAGAACAGAGCGAATACGAGCCTGCTTAGAAGCTTGAATGTAGCTTTTGGGATTAATTGGATTCTTCGATGCGCGAGGAGCAGGCCGATTAGTGTTATCGAGAGTAGCTTTAACAGAGGTACGATTGCATCGATTACGTCTCGTTCGTATACCGTCTTGTCATTGTAAATTTCAGCCCAGAGATTCGACATATTTTCTTCCCCGGATTAATTTATGTCAATAAATCTGCAACAAACAAGCAAGAAACGAAAAAGAAATTCACCAGTAATTTAATAAAAAGAGGTGCAATAATATATTTCCAACAAATAAACAAGCCCTAAAAGAAGATGAAAGTTTAAGATATCCCCAATATTTGCCCTAGCTTACAAAAAAAATTAAATACCAGAAATTAAAATTCAATCAACACCATCAGCGATAAATTAACCATGAACAGTAAGAAATACAAATTCAATCGTGTAAAAAAAATATCAATACGCAACAAATCAACATAGAAAACATCATCGTCAATCAACGTTAATGAAAATGAGCTCAGCAATTATAATCACACAGATCTGTAAAAAAAGAAAAATTACCCTAAATAATAATCCCTAAAAAAATCGAAAAGAAATTGTTTCAGAAAGAAGGAATTACCGAAAATTCAAATCTGGAGAGAAGGAAAATGAGAGAGAGAAAAATCCGGTGCATGAGAAATCTGCATATCAAACGAAAAGGTGGCGGAATCACGAAGAACAGAGCTACACCATTCTTCCAAATTTAGGAACTGTAATGCATTAATTTATAATTTATTTTTTTACAAGTTTATCTGAAATATATTACCGATTATTTATTTTTGTAAATATATATATATTTAGTACGTGGAAAATATGTAGTGTGCAAAATGAACATGTAGAAATTGGAACAAAATTGAAACAAAATTGGAATAAAATTGAAACGAATAGATTCATCTCGAATTCCGATTTAACAAGAAAAATATTTTTTTATAAGACATTGATTTATGTACTAATTTTAATTTTGAAAAACTCTGGGTTTTTTTCATTTCTAAATGACACTAAGTAGTATAAATACTATTGGTGAAGAAATAAATTTTTAAATTTTGATTTCCAGTTTTGCTTATTTTTCCCAAAATACTTTATAACAAAATTAAAAATATTAATTTCACACTTTGAAAAAAAAAATATAGTTTTTATTTTTTTTAATTGGGAAAAAATACTAATTTATTGGGACATAATTATTCGTCCACCTTTGATATGATTGACTCAGGCCTGATGGCACAATTGGACCACCCTAATGGACGGGCTAAGTGAGTTGGGCCCGGCCCGGTATGTGCAACAGCAGATAAAAGCTCTTCAGCCCAGTGCATTTTTATATTTATTTTTTTAAATAATTATTTATAATGGTTTAAAATAGTATAATAAAAATCACATATTAATTAAAATTAGTATGTAAAGAGTGTTTAAAGACATTAACTGCAATTCTTTTTTTTTAGTAAATATATATAGAATAACTTGAGGCGTTTATATAACTTTTTAATTTTACTTTTATTTCGTAAAATCTGATTGGTGGCGGTAAATGGCATGTTTGTCCCTTCAAATCATTATCCAACCTAGGGATAGCCATGGGGCGGGTACGGGGCGGGTATCGCAATCCCCGCACCCGACATGTTTGGAAAATAAAGCAACCCTCGCCCGTCCCATACCAGTTGCGGGTTGGAATTGTAGAACCGTTCCCGCCCCATTTTGCACCCGCGGGTACCGTTTGACGACCCATTTTTTTCTCTCTTCCATTTTGACTTTTCCTTCTTACTTTGAATATAAAAATCAATTCTAATTATGTTTCTTAAAAAAAATAGCCTTGTTTTTTCCAATGCAAATATATATACTTGTTAATTACTAAATATCATTAGATTATAAATGCAAATCAACAATCATTTTATAAAAATAATATACATTATATTAAATATACATATAAGGGTATTATACGTAAATAAAAAAATATGGGTGGTAAACGGGGCGGGTATGGGTCGGGTACGGGGGTAATTTTATTACACCCGTATCCTCCCCTTACCCGTTGCGGGTATAAATTGTAAAACCCTTACCCACCCCAATCCTTAACAGGGCGGGTATTACCCGTCGAAAATGGGGCGGGGCGGGACGGGTACCCACCGGGTCGGGTAATATTGACATCCCTAATCCAACCATCATTTATGGGGACAAAAATGACATTTATATATTACCCAACCTCGTCCATGAACTAAGAGCAAATTCAATGCTAAAGATCAAAATTGAATTGTCAAATACTCATTTGATAATTAAGATAATATTTTAATATCCATTTATAGTTTATTTACTCCAACCATAATTATCAAAATTAATAATCAATTGGAGTTTTTTAGTGGTTTTATTTGTAATTAGCACGGGTCATTTTGTGATTGGACATTTAGGGGGTTAATTTTTTGATAACTCAATTTTCAGAACTGAAATGCTATTCATAGAACAACTTTTACCGGCTTGCAGTGCGACTTTATTTCATTTGTAATTTTTCTTAAGAAAATTCAAAATTCTCTCAAACCCTATCCAAGGTTCTTCGAGTTCTTGCCGATTAAACGAGCAATTCAACAACGATTAAGGTTAAATTCGAACTCGAAATCATTGACCCAATGTTTTTATAGTAGTATATTAACAAATTTCGTCGAAAATCTATACGTTTTGAGTATTTTGATTATGTTCGAAAGTTTTCGGAAATAAACTTACATTTCGTGTAGAAACTCACGAAATGAAGGGGCTAATTTCGTGAGTTTGTACACGAAATAGACGTATTTGTATGTATATCTTACGTTTCGTGTACAATTACACGAAATAC